GAGGAGGAGGTCTGAAGAGGGGGAGAAGTGGGTTGTGCACGGCCTGTCTCTTATACACATCTAGATGTGTATAAGAGACAGCTCCCTCACCCTCTCGCTATCTGACAGGCTACGACGGAGAAAGAGAGACAGAGATTTGTGACTTCGAGATTTGACGACATTTCGATTCAGACTCAACCTTGGGACAGAGACATTGAGGGGAGACTATTTGGGATTGATATCAACGACATTGGTGTTGACGACATTCTCATCTCCTCCCTTCCTCTTCGTCTGATCCCCCTCCTCTTCGTCTGTTTATGATCTGGGCCTGGCACATTCTTCCTGTGTGTAGCGCCAGGCCCCTTCACACCTTGCGATGATGATGATGTATGTTTTGTCTGCATTGCGACATTGATTGGTCTGATCATTGGTATTTAGCCTTCCGCTGTGCTATCCTGTACTATGTGAGAGAGGTCGTATTTAGCCTTCCGCTGCGCTATCCTGTACTATGTGAGAGAGGTCGGTTCTTGTTCTGGTATGCACCATTACGGTATGCAACAAAGATCTAGCTGAAATTGTTGTTTTACTAATTCTGTAAATTCCTCACTTTCCGCCTGCACATCCTCCATTACATATATGCATCACTTTCCCCAGACGGCCCAAAGGACTGCTCTCCTCCCTAGCGTGAACATGTTTTCCTCGGAGGTGCTATCTTGTGGGATCTCCATGCCCTAAACAAGAGTGGTCCCCACTCCCATAGCCAGGAGGAGTCAGTTCCCAGCTGACGCCATATCCGGTCCCACCAACGCCATGTGAGGGTTGCTCCCAGGCACCGTGGGAATATGTGCTCCATGGTTTCTGAACCAACACAAAGGGCCTAACGACATCTACAGCCTTTTCTGACCCCTACCATACCTACCAGAATGTTCCTGCAGCGGCCTACTTACAGTAGCCTACCGAGGACTCCTTTAATATGATACACGTAACTGGGCCAGATAATGGAACAGGGAACTGCGACCGGAACTGAGACTGGAACTGCGATTGGAACTGGGACTGGGAACAGGGCTGCAGCGGTGAAATCCTTTTTTATTCTTCTTTTTACGGCTCTTCTAGGTTTTGTCTGGTCTCGGCGAGATCATTTCGCACTTTTCTTTCTGTTCGAAGAGGCACTGGGTCCCCATTGTTTTGGCCAGTTTAGGTCATATTTGTCCACATGCGGACTGGACCAGGCACTTGTCTGTAGTGCCTGGTTCTTTCCTCCTCCATTCTGGACCTGCTCTGCTGCATCAGAAGGGGCGCCTGGACATCTGGCAGGGACTGCGACAGGCCGTTTCAGTCCAGTCCTCTGGTGAAGAAGTTGGGCCTACACTCGTGACCATTGATTGGAGATTAGATCGGACAGTCATGAACACAGATTGGAGGTTTTGCTACCACGCCAAACGGTATGCAGCTACGTAGCTGGGCCAGGCTTCACTCTTGGACACAGAGTCATGAGAACTCGGAGCGACATGCTGCTGGAGAGCAGCGCGAGTGAGAGGAGCTGCACTAGGTAGTACAGCTTTGAAAGAGCTAGGTGAGTAGGCTGGCGGAGAGGGATATCTCGGCAGCAGCGTGAGAGAGGACTTACCTGGGCACCATAACTCAGTCTTCATTCCAGACTGGGACTTGCCTGCATCTTTCGCTGGTTAGTGCTTGTTGACATCGTCAGAGAGAGACAGAGAGACAGAGAGAGGAGGGATTCTTCGTCTTCTGCTGCTTTTCAGTTCTCCCTCTCACCCTCCATATCCGCTACCTCCCTTCTTTCGTCACACACACACACACACACACACACACACACACACACACACAC